AGAGAGAGAGAGAGAGAGAGAGAGAGAGAGAGAGAGAGAGAGAGAGAGAGAGAAACAACAAAAAGGCAACCGGTTGAACGAAGTTTTCGGAATCATGTATGTGTTTGTGTCGCGGCAGTTATAGTTGTTGTAAGAAGATTGTTCGTTCCATTCGTTGCTAACATAACGATTTTTGGTTACAGTTCGTCTGTTGCAGTGCCATAAAATTGTTCGTGTTAATGACTTAAAACGCATTCGCGCGCACAATGCCTCCAAGTCCAAGGCAGCGCACCATGTTTTCAATCGAGATTTATTTTTGTTGACGTTAACAATGACACGTTCCTTTGGGTAAATGCGAAAATCCACTGGGTGACAACAACACAGTCCAACTATGCAAGAGATAAGACAACATTGTGCTTGAAAAGTTTAAGAGAAATATACATTGAAAAATGTAGGAAAACAAAACGACAAATGCTGATTTCAACATTCACAACTAATCTCAAACCACTAAAACAAATCTTAACACGGACAGACACAAAAGCTGAAAACTATATTTGTAACAGTCGTAGCGGACGACACCAAACATGTTAGCACACACATATAGACAAAAACGTGCCGATTTTTATCGAATTGCACATTTGCGATCGTCGTTGTGTTCTGGGAATCAAATTAAATATAACGTGCATCGTCACATATATGCACACGGAGACACACATTCACAACCCAGATTGCAATAAACGAAGGGACACACAAATTGAATGCAATTCGATTTTGGCTAGTTTTGTACACTCAAAAGCCAACTGATTTTCAACTATGAATTGTTTCGATTTTTCTATCTCTCTCTCTCCCTCACTCGATCTCGTTCCGTGTGTCTCGTGTACGATATACACTAAAATTGCAATGCACGGAGAGGAGAGAATTCAGATTCATTTTGGTAGGTTACATAATAAATAGAGAACGCTCGTTGGTTCCATAAGTAATTGTGTCAATATTGGTTTCTTCAGACAATTCCACTTTTCAACAAAACAATTGAAACGAGAACGAAAGAAAAAAAATCACTGGAAAAAGTTTTAGACGTTTTCTTCTTTTCGGATTGGCTCGTGTTTTGTGAAAAATCAGCGTCACAGATAACATGTAGCCCAAAAGTATTTCAACCAGTCGAACACGGACGACGACAACTATGGTTTAAACTCCTGTTTTTATACTCTCTCGCTCTCGTTCGGTCTAAATTGATCGAGGTTCGAACGTGAGAAGCAAAAGCAAAACTTTGTTAATATTGAACTTTCTCCCTTCGAATCATCCGTAAACCAAACATATATAGATTTTTTTTTCATTCGAGCCATTCGTTTCTTCCGTTTCGAGCACATTTAATCTTTTGAGAAAAATTATTCGCTTGAACATATTGGTTGTGCGAATTTTTGTCGAAAAAAAATCGATTTTTGGTAATTCATTTAACGGTATTATCTTTGGATCGGCATTATTAATGGCGCATTAACGACAAATTCTGGATACAATTATTTTTCGTTCGTTGGTGACCACAGTTTGAGATAAAATGACTTTATTACTTCTTCCCAAAGTTTTCACATTTATTTTTATCATCCGTTGAATCATTGAATTTTCATCGTTGAATCGTTTGTTTGAAATAATTTTTTATCCTCATTTTTATCATACATATCTCTCATTCCATGAGCGCGACGATTTTTTACGTTTGAGAATCAGATATCAATACTTGGACAGCACGTGAATCATTTGCTTCACTTAACAAGCGACACGCTTGACATCGTCGCTTTGGGTGAAACAAACCTCTATCGTGTTAACGCATCAAACTTTTGAATGAGTTATGTTTTTCCGTCAATCTTCCGTTTGCATGATGAAACCGAAACTTTTTGAGTTGCAAAAATCCGATTTGAGGGGAAAACATTTTCCGAACTTATTTCTAGAGTACCGAAGAAAATCGATGAAAACATACTATTATCGGAACTGATACACGGTTTGATTTTCGTTTTCAATTTGAAATAACAACTTTATTTGCATTGTATGTTGACACAAATTTCGAATCCTAATCAAATTTTAAAATTTTCCGTAGAACAAGAATGTTGAAATGATTCCGAAGCCACGCTCTGACACAATGTTAACTCAAGATGCGTTTGAAATTGAGGCGAAATAGGAGTTGATCAAAAGCATTTCCAAAAATAATAATTTGTAAGGTTTTGCTTGGACAAAACTTAAACACCTGAATTGAATTTGTTCAACATGTGAAAACTGCAAAGCTTCGAGAGTTGATGAATCGATTGGCAATCACTTGAAAAGAAATGATAAAAATGCCAAGTGATAAAGAAGAATTATCCAACCATTCAACCTTAACAATATTTGTTGGTGAAGTGATTTTATTCAATAAACAAACCACTCATGTGCAAAAATAAACTTTATTTCAACAATGAATTATGTGAAAGTTTAGAGAGAAAAAACAATTGCTGCAAAAATCAACAGATTGAAATTTTAAAGAGCACGAAACGAACTAGTTCGTTGATAAAATAAAGTTTCAAATGTTCAACCGTAAATGATTTCAGTTTTGGGAGTAACTATTAATCGTTTTCTTGTCGTAAGATGATTTCTCCACAAAATTCGAAAAGCACTTTGATCGCTAATCCTGGTTGGGATCTGATTTTGATCCAAACGCGTCTTCTGCCAAGGTTACCCTTCACAATGGTTACGTTTGACGGAACCGTTTCATAATCGGAATATCGTATGCCTCTAATTACGAAGTCGGGCCGATGAAATCCCTGGAACCGACAAGAAAAATGACCCAATAATAAGTCGTTAAACGGTATTCGTTCCTATATTGACGTTTCTTTTTATCCTTGTATCTAGTTCAAATTGTCTTACCGTTGGAAATTTGATCGTTTTGCGTCGAATCGTATTTTTGTAAGCCTTTTCGTATGCTCGACTTGTACCAACCAATCTATAGTTCGTGCAATCGCCTAAAGTCGTTACAAATTCACCACTGGAATAAACAATGCAAAGGAACACCAAAATAATAACAGCTTTCATTGTGACCGCTTTCGTATCTTTACTGGGCACACATATTTGTTACTATCGATATTTAAGACGATTATTTCTTATCTTTTGCGATATATTTGTTCTGAAATTTTGTTGCAAACTAAGCACTCAACTGATAAATATTCCTTGGTATTGAAAAACAACAAATTCAAGTCGAGCCCATTGATTGGGACTGCCAAATGAATAATATGTTGTTTTGTTATTTTAAGGCATAGAAAACATAGAAAACTAAAAAATGTCTATGCGTATCATATGAAAAGTATTATTAAAATCATTTTCTTTCAAAACCATAATTCTAGAAAGATACGTATGGTAATGCTGTTACTGCAAGAAAAATGTTTTATCATTTTACAAGGAAATAATAATTACGACAAATAAATAGCTCATTCAAAAATCAAAACACGAGAATTCTGTCTCTCGTAAAGCCATGAATAACTGGGGACAGAAAAACAGACAGTCAAATATTCAATTGTATATATAGATTTAAAAACTGTCAACATACTATCATATTCCGTACATTGGAGAATGGACGATGGACATGTAATGAGTATCAATGTTCGTTGAAGAAATGAAAAAAAGAAACGAATTAAACGCAGTTTCTCTTATCCATGCACATGTACAGTGTACACTCACATCGAGGTAAAATTTTCTTCTTCTGACTGAAATTGTTCGGATTTCATCAACGAACAAACACAATTCACGCGAAATAAAGAAATTGATTGAGACAGCTTCAAATAAAAAATGTCTCCCCAGACGCAGTTTCAATTTAATTACGGCATGAAATTTTCATGTTTTTGTCTTTTTACGTGATTTTTTTAAATTGAACTGGTGATTAACATGGAAACAAATAATCATCAATTCCGTTCGGATGAAATATAAATCAATTTCGAACTCAGAAAAATCGTTAAAAGATGATACATCTGGCTAAAAATCTTTTGGTTTCAAACTGGAGTACAAAATGAGTGGTCGCCAGCCAATCAAAGTGATATCAAAATGTCGCAGTTTTCTTCAAAATATGAATTTGTGCCGTAGCTCTGAGCTACGTATCGGTGGTTTTGTCATTCCAAATTGTATCGGATTTATCATATTTTCGATGCCTTTGATTCAATTTGTAGTGATGCAAGTCTCGACGGCCTATCAAATTGGGTTTCGTGCCCAATGAGGAATATGTACACATAGTTATTTAGATTTTTTGTGTACATTTTGTACATAATTTTTTGTACATGTACTGTTGTGTACATTTTGTACATAATTTTAAAGTAATTATCTAAAAATCAGTGCACTTTTTGTGCACGAAATAATGTGTACTTTTTGTACACGTTCACATACAAAATTGACGTTACAAAAATGTGCACAAATTCAATATTAATTAACGTTACATATTCCCCATTGGGTGGTTTCCAAGAAAATGTGAACGTATTCTTCATCTCAATGGGCAGTATGCAGTTGGTATCAATTTATTTGTGTTTGGTAAATAAAAATGAACTAATCATCGAAACCGTAAACCATATTCAGAACGTAGCTGACCGAAGTAAGACAATTTGTTTACTTATAAAACAAAAAATACTTCGAAATTTTTTCGATTTTTGAAATAAATAAATTTTCTAAAATTTTCCACTCAAGGATGTCAATCGTCTCCTCAGACCTGCAAAAACTACCAAATGTACGAAGAAAAATGCACGAAGCTTGCTAAGAAATTTCGAAAGTCGATAGATATTTTTATGCTAGCAACGTACATTCCACCAGTACTCAATCCAATTGGCTATGTGCTCTTTAACACGCCGACTCCAGACAAATGGCAGTTAACACTGCCAATCAAGTAAAATTCAATTGATTTCGATCATTTTGAACTTTTTGTAAACAAGAAAAATTCTATGTTTCATTTTACAGTATGTATTTTCGAACGGACACCTATCTCGGATTCTATGCCGCTGAACTGGAACAAGTTCCAATGGTTTTAAATGACACAGACACTTGGCTGAGCCTGTAATGTAAAAACGGATATTTACTCTAACTATGACTGAATTGAATGGTGTTTCCGCACCTGGTCTTATAGGGATCGTCTTCTTGGTAGTTTATCTTGCGATATCTCCACGTCGTATGAAACGGAAGTACAAGACGGCAAACAATCGCACTTCCTCGAGAAATGCGAATTTGAAAGGTTTCGCTTGGCATCGTAGATAGAACATGATTTGCTGAACATTGAGCACATTTTCGTACCATTGTCCCCTGCAAAAGATCATCAAATGGATCTTTATTTCGTATCGGCTCCACCGATATCGATATGAACACTAAATTTAATGAACGCTAATACGATTCCACTCACTTGGCATTTGATCTTCGTAAAATTGGCCAAGCACTCGCTTTCGCAGTTATGATAAGTGTAAAACTTGTAAAATATGCCGCCGGGAATGGAATGATTCCAATGTCAGTGGTTTTGTCGTCGAATGACTCCTAATTTTGCAGCTGCGCATGTATCTTTGAAACCACTGATCACTTTTGGCCGAATTTTGATTCGCAGTATAGTGTTGGCTTCGGACGTTCGTTCGACCGTTCGACAATATAAAAAAAAATTGTTTTGTTCGTTCGTTCGTTCGAAAGTTTTGTAAAAAATTATTTAGTTCGTTCGTTCGTTCGAAAAGTTGAAAATTATTTTTTTTGCTCGTTCGTTCGTTCGAAAATTATGAAAAAAAAAATTTGTTCGATCGTTCGTTCGGAAATTGCTATGTTCGACCGTTGGTATTTTTACATTTGAAATACAGAGGAAGTAAATACAATTTTGATTTCTTTGGGTTTCAGTCTTACCCAAAGGTACAACGTAATTACCGGTGTTATTACCTAGTAATACCACTGGTAATAATTATTATCGATCTTATTACCGATTAATAAGTAATTACTAAGATGATAGTTATTGCCGATTATTACCGTTAAGAACTTAATTAAACTTTGCACTTAAGCTTAAGTATGTAATTTTTATTCGAGCAAAAAGAGATTTTTGTGAAGACAATCTTCGGGCTACTTTTAACAACACAATTTTTTATTCTTTTTTGCCATAAAATTTGATGACTGAATCGATAGCCTTATGCGGCAATTGCGAACGAATGTGAAGAACGACGTGATTTTGTCCGATTCCACCTTCGACGATTGCCAGTTCGGATGGTCCCGATACACTATCGTAGAATGCTATTGCTTGAATATATTGGATTTTTGTAGGTGATCCGGGCTGAAATCAAAGAAATAAAAATTATCTTCAATAACATATTTCGAGTAAAACAATCAATGATAAAATAGACGGAAATGAAACGAAAAAACAAACGAAGTACCTCTGGGAAAACGACAATTTTCTCATTTGGTTGTTCCCAATTTTCATCAAGTTGGTAAATTACTTGATGTCCAATGATTTTCGAGGAATTAGACAGGTCTTTATGGTCGATCTCGCCGAAAATTGTCAAATGTTTTGGAATATAGGAAGCGTTAGCTCCAATGACAGCAACAACGATCAAAACGGCAACCAGAAACTTCATCTTCAATTCAATTCGTTTACTAGCAACACAAAAATGAAAGTACATCCCATTATTGTTGGGCAACAGTTTATATTGTGTTCTTGCACTCAATCAATTTGCTGATAAGCAGTTATCGACAAAAATATAATTTATAGAGGGCCTTCCCCTAGATTTGAAAGATTCTAATCTAAAACCAAAAGTAAAAAAACACCATTCTAATCTAAAGCTATAAACAAAGTTTGGCCTTGAAAGTTAAATGTTTGACACTGATAATAAAGACCAAAGAAGTGTTTCTGTGCAGTCATCTCTGTTACTAATGGCCATGAGCCACTTCAATTTCCGAATTAATTTCAAATAAGAACTATTATTTTCGGATCAACGGCAAATGAAAAGTTTATTAAAAATGACTCAAGTGTTTGCTTTGTTCCCAATATTCATTGTTTAATAAACAACAGCGATGACTGAATCGCACCCAAGTGCGCTAGAGCGCACTCGAGCACTTGTGTTTTTTTTCTTCGTTCTACTTTACCTTTTTGGCCAAACAAAATTTGTATCAATATTTTGTCTAACATAACGAAGAATGGCTCTTGAAAAACCACATTTACATTGGTGTATATAAAGAAAAATCCCCAAAAGTATCGATTGTGAAATTGAGCTAACACTCGCAATGACTAAGTGAGTGTGACCGCACAATGCGAATACCAGCTCTCATTTCAGGGCAGAAAACGTATTCTTTGTTATGTTAGACAAAATATTGAAATAAATTTTTTTTGGCCAAAAAGGTAAAGTAGAACAAAGAAAAAAACGAAAAAAACACAAGTGCTCGAGTGCGCTCTAGCGCACTTGAGTGAGCTTTAATCATCTCTGTTGTTTATTTTTGAATTTTTAATCATCATTTAATTGGGCGGATACAGATTGCTGTCGGTTACAAGTGTTTGCCAAAGAAACGGATAAATGACTCGATTCTGTGTCTTGGTTTCGAGTTTGACGTGATCCTGACCAACACTACCTTCAATAATATTACAATTGACTTCATCTTATTTTTGTCTAAATTTATAACAAACCTCCGGAAGCTGGACAGTTCTATTTGGAATCTCTCGATTTTCTGATGAGTGCAAAAGATAATCGAATCAAGGTCCGAATATGATAGATCACAAATAGCATCAAACCCTTATCATATTTGATAGATAGAAACAGCGTCAAAAAGAAAGAAAGAGAAAAAAATTCATGATTCTCTTTTTCAGCTTAAAAATAATATTTATTGATGAAAATATTAGAACAACGTTTCAATTAATTCCATTAAAAATCCGTAATTGCATCTCCATGAAATTCAAAGACAGCGGAAAACGATTGTCCCAATTCAAAATGATCGTCCCGTGCACATGTACTTGCAATTTTATTATTATTCAAGCTTGATTAAACCGTGATAGGAAAGAGTTGTTTCGCCATTAAATTTTTTTTTCTTAGATAATGATCATGGCAACATAGTTTGAAACAATGCAAGCACCCATGATATCTACAGATCTTCATTAGTGCGTCCAATACTTTTAATCACATAATTCGTCACAAATCAGAAATAAAATTAATGAATTTAACAAACAAGTAAATAAGTAAAGTTTGGAATCTTCTTTTCAAGTGGGTGTTGCTCAATGAATCAAAAATAAATATTATTAAATCTCTTCACAAGAATGTGGAAAACAAATGAAATGAAAAAATACATTCTACATGAAAACAAGAACGAAAAAAAAAGAACTCGCCACCGGGTGGAATCGAACCACCAACCTTTCGGTTAACAGCCGAACGCGCTAACCAATTGCGCCACGGAGGCGGTATGTTTCAGTGTGCATATGAAAAATTTCACATCTAAGCCTTGTTCTTTTTTGTTTATTTAGCTGGTTTCCAGGTTTCTACAGCTGTTCTATGATTTGTTTTGGATCGAACTTAAATGGTATATGTTTATTGTTGTTGGATTGTTGTTGTTGTTGCTGTTAGTAGACTATTTCACTAGTTTAAACTAAACGAATTTGGTTTCTTCTATTTAATCAAATGAATTTAATTTTGAAAAATAAACTTTTTCAAAAACCCATGCAACGCCTAAAAATGATTTGGACTTTATGGCAATAAAAGTGGAGATGCAGTTGCATTAGCAGAGCATTCAAGTTTATGGGCTGATAATCGGCTGGATGGCAGCAACGTATATTTTGGCATATGGTGAACCATTATAACCACTATCGACGATATTGACATTTTATCTTATGAATCTTGAATTCTTTCGCCATAGAAATGAAAAATGGACGAAAAGGATTTCTCTCTCTTCGAAGTAACAATGATTTTGATGTACTTCTTGCCGATGCCGCCACTGACAATTGTAGTTTCTGGGAATACGTTACTGCAATCAAGATGTTTAATGCCGCGAATCACATGCTTTGAGTAGATAGGACCTTCCTAGAATATATAAATGAGTAGAAAATCTTTTGATTATACAGAAAAAAATTGGAATTTACCTCAGGAAATCGGACTGTGATGACAATGCATTTATTTCTATCCGCATTAGGCATTGCCAAAGCTTTTCCAAGGTACGGAAATTCTTGAGTATTTTCATAAGACTTGGAACCGATTGCGTCTGTCGATTTTCCAATGGTAAATAGAAATAAAAATAATAACACGACTTCGACTTTCATTGTTCTTATTTCGGTTCTATTGAAACAAGACATTGCAAAACTGAATGAAATATGCGCTATTTCAGCCCATTCATAGCACAATGTCAACTGACAATCTTACCTCAATCACGTATCATCTGTAATGATCTCTTAACCGCCGCTATTGTTTCTTTTCTCAAATCATGTCAAAGTTCTCAGAATTATTGCTAATTCAAAGAAATTCCAAGACAATAAATGACTTTTATTGATACTGAATAGAATTGAATTGCTTATTCTTCTAAGTTTTATTCATTGAATTCAATTATTGATTGGAAAGAGGTTCCATTCCGAAATGTCAACTAGTGCAAGTCCCTTAATTCGTTGAGTACTATGTTTGCCATCGCGTGAGTATTACGACACGAATTCACGGAAAAGGCTGAAAATACATTCGAGTATTGTCAACTTTGCATGCAATCACGGCATTAAAGTCGAAATTACGATTCCTTTTTACAACGATTTAAAAGATTGTTTAATGGTTTTCTACTGACATATTTCAATTGTTCATTTCAATTCATTACGAATTTCAAATCAATATTAATAATTTATTGGTCGATTTTTTCGCCATGGAAACGGATGATTGAAGAGAATGTTCAGCTTGTTTATCGCATGGGGCGAAAGTAATGATAAATTTCAAATTTAGCATCCTTTTTAGTTACAAAATAAATTGAGATGCTTTTCATCAATACCAACAAAAATTAAAACATTCTCAACATAGATAAATGCTCAATTTCTTTATTGGATATATATATTCAAACTGCCAGCGATGTTAAATTCCAGGGTTTATTGACAGTTATTATTAATTGTCATAAACAATTTAGTACACTTTTTCTCCGTAGAATTGGAAGGTGGTTGCAAGTAGTTTTCCATATTCCGAAGTGACCATCATCATAACATGCTTGTGTCCAATGCCACCGCTGGTGTCTTCAACCTTTGGTGTATAATTGTTTCATCGATTTGCTTATAGCCCCTAATCATATATGTTCCGTACTGGATTCCTTTCTACGAAATAAAATTCGAAATCTTCATTAGTATTTTCTATATCAAGAAAACTGATGTCAACACAAACTAAATCTAAAACAATTAACTCATACGCCCAGGGGGAATGTGAACCCTTTTGATACAAAGTTGTCTTTGTCAGCTGTGGCGTAAACAATTTCGATGTTTGGAATGATGATTGGTTGAGCCCATACAATGCGCAGAGCACGAACAATGCAACGAAAATCTTCATTTTGCCATTTTGTTTCGGGGATGATAACAGTCAGGCAAGACGCTTGGTTTTCATACTTTCTACAATCAGCATCCATATCGCAATTGACTTATTTTTTATTCTTATCAATAATGATAAACAAATAAAAAAATTTATCGTAAACCATCCAAATTGTAACATAGTCCAAATTGTAACAATTGAACAAATAGACTAATTTTCTGCAAAACTTTGAAGGGTATACCCTTAATTATAACTGTTGTTTTTTATATCATATTTGAGAAGAACACGAAAAAAACTTCCTATATGAATTTATTATGACTTATTTGTATTTTTTAGAAAAAAAGGTTTATTTTGAGACTATGTTACAATTAGAACTATGTTACTATTTGGATGGTTTACGATGCTCATGATCTAACCGCTCAATTTAAATGTCTCAGAATATTTGTGCACTTTAAACGATATGTTAATCTATCAAAATGCAAGAGTTTTTTTTGTGATTTTTTCAAATCGATTAAACGAAAAATGTCATGTAAATGCTTGGCACTCAAATTGTTTCATCACATTTAATCTATTGACTAGGTAGTTTATGGAATGCTGCTTTTTGGAAAATGATTGTACAATTTTAAGAAATAAAAATAGTTTACTTCGAATCGAAGTCTTCGATGCAATTCTGAAGCTCAATACAATAAATCAATTATTGTTATGTTATCAACTTGATTGCATTACATTAATGATCAAGAGTCATCACGATGTGTGGATGATCATGGATGGTCAATGATTTGAGATGACGACCAAGCATTCAAAATGACGGAATTGACAAATCATTGCAAAGAGACGGGTGTGGAAGGAAAATCAAATCAAATATGAACGAAATGAACTGGACAAAGGGTGTAGCTTCGGAGTAATTTAACTTACCTTTACTTCTAGTAAAGCCACACACGATTGAAAAAAGTTACTGAAACATTCGATGATTCAATGAGTTGGAATTGAGATGGCATTGACTACTATGTGCCAAATGATTTACATCTTAAAATGGATTGTGGCACTTTCGCTATGAGAAAAATCTTGTTGAACAATTTATGATTGAAAGCTTGAAATAAATAAGAATATAATTGATTGCCTTTTTGATCAGTTTTAATGCGTTAATGACAATAAATCGAGGTCAAAATAATGCGATGAGAATGAAGGTCACAGAAATAGAAAGCCTTTTAAAATTTTCATTTCAATTATATATTTATTTATCATTTAAAAGTATCACAATCACTTCAAGAATCATTTTAGTGTCCAGGATGGGCAGCTTGATGTCATGTACTAAATAGTCGCATTAGAAATGAACGAAATTTTTTGAAAAATCCGGGCCGGGGGATTCCATGGCCGGAATTAGCCATAAAAGTTTGGGCGAACTTGGTTTTATCCGAGCGATCTGGAACGCTTATCCATGGTCCAAATTTATTCGCTTCTTCGATAATGGATGCTTTTGTTGTGGCCTAACAGAAGATATTACCGTATTAAAACTTGAACGACTCACATTCTCATTTAAATTATCAAAATGGATTCAATTATTCGAACAAAGTTGATTGTCTCCAAAGAAATTTCTTCTAATTATTTCGTCATGTTTTCGCAATTTCACTTTATTATTATCTTTTTATCTATTAATCACTCGCGTCATTCAATTTAAACTTTTTTCATTCGCTTACCTTAACTTCTTTCTGTGTCTGCTTGTGATTTTCGAATTCAATTTCGGCTGACACAATGACTTAAGGATGAGATGCTGGATCCTGATTTACCTTTAAAGAGTTTACTCATAGTTGATAAGACGGTGATAATTTATGGTTATGTTGATTGTATCGCACTAACAGTTTTACCAAAGAATGAAATTTCGATGTCGATGTCCTTGTCCATCTTATCTGGTACAGCTAATGCAATAGTGACGTGATTTTTGTCAATGCCGCCATCGACAATTTCCATTTTTGATTCCAATGAATTGTGAATTGTTTTGATGCCATGTATCACAAAGGTCTCTCTAGTTGGACTCTGGAAGCAACATTTTATTAGGAATGAAATATTTTACATTGAAAAAATCAGAAGAATTCACAGAGGCGAATAATTAAAGTGATAATGTTCAATACTTCTAGCGAATTATCTACCTGTGGAAATTTAAAGAAGATTTTATTTCCCTCAACCGGAGCTTTGAAATTGGCAAATTCCGAACCAAGATACCGAACTTTGGATAATTTTTCAGATTGAATATTGCCAATGATATTGACGCTTTGCGGTCCGCTAGCGGCGCACACGGCAAATAACAAAGCAAAAGCGATCAAAAACTTCGGCATAGCTGAAGAGGGAGTATTTCACAACCAAACGAACGAACGATTGTAAAACAATGAAACAAACTGGCTGAAATGTTCACATTTCGTAAAATATATATAACCAAATGGATTTTTGATAACGAAAAATATGATTTCCATGCATATTTCGCATGCTGAGTCGAAACAAAATATATATTTGTTGTGCGTTTTTTAAATAAAAGAACAGAAACGAATTCAAGCAATTTTTATCGCCAATTATTATCATTGAAATCAAACTTAACAAATCGCTTGAACCATGTGACCTCAATGGAAAACTTATAGATCAACCACCATTGTGTGAATTCTTCAATACAGCACAAAGTGATATACCATTTTTTATACAAGATATGTTGATTGCCTTTATCACCTTGTCGATTTTGTTCGAGGCCGCATCAATTGTTCGGCTAATTCTCTTCTAAAATGTGACTCCGATACAAGTCTCTATGAAAGTAAACGCAATGAATTAAAATTTAGGATATTATTTTCTCTACTCTACAAACGAAACACGGTGGCTGGAGCATCGAGTACAATCAGTTTGTTTTGAATGTTTCCGATCTTATCAGATGAAAGAGAA